TTTATGTTATAATTTAATAATAGGGTGATTCCGGTGGCGGTCTGGTTGAGTACCAGGGTAGAAAACGAGTAGAGAAGGCTGTGTTAGTGGGTATAATGGTTGGCGGCTTCCCAAACAACACGGTGTGCGAGGATAAAACTCACTCTAGGGCGATTGATGTGTCCCGACATATCACCTGGATTTTGGACACTATTAATAAAACAATTTAAATGCAATTCATATGCAATTTATTTGGTGATTATTTGCTTAAATATCAAGAGTTTTATGTTTGCTTTCAATTTCATAATAATTTCATAACTTGTACTTTTTAAAAATTAACTACCGTCGATTTATTATAAAGAGTTGCTAGTTTAATTTGAGTCAAGTCCGTATAATAGGTGATGGCAGTACTAGTGATACTGACCACAACTCATACAACTGAATGAGTATAAAGAACGTTAAATTATTTGAAACTTTATTTAACATTTAACTATTTATAGTCACTAGAGTCGCTCATCTGTTATACAATATTCATTTATAAATATTTAACTTAAAACATTACTATCATATTTTAAAATTTTCAAAATAGTTGAGCGACTTTAATGACTATAAATAATTAAAAGTGTTAAATAAAGTTTCAAATAATTTAACGTTCTTTATACTCATTCAGTTGTATGAGTTGTGGTCAGTATCACTAGTACTGCCATCACTTCTTATACGGACTTGACTCAAATTAAACTAGCAACTCTTTATAATAAATCGACGGTAAATTATTCAAATAACTTCTACAAAAATAAATTTGTTTATTTTAATTTACCCTTTATTATAATTATTGATAATTAGCGCAAACAATTGTGATAAAAATGTTTCAATTGTTGTCTTGTTTAAAAATTGCGAGACACGTATTTGCGAAATACACAACAAATTAATCCCTAATGATTTATATTAACAAAAATGCCAAATATAAAAATAATACCAACTCATCCATACCTATTGACTGCAGTTTAGATACAATACGTAATAATATACAACAAAATCAAATCATTTGACAGTTGTCTATGGGTTTGGTTTAGTTGAGCGAAGGGGTGGTAATAGAAAGCCCGCTGTTTAATGAAAGGCGAGTTCAGTGGCCAGTATTGTCGTAAAACTAATTATTTTTAAACATTATTATTATTGTTGGCAGCAATAAATATAATCATATAATTTTTTAAAAACATTAACGTAATTTAGTTACTAATTCTATACAACCGTTAATAATTGAAACATTTATTATTAATTTAGTTATTATACAAATATGTTTGCAATCAAAAGTCGAGTTATTTTCATATTTATTACTTTATTATATGTTTCCAATTGTGAGTAAAAACCATAGAATCGGTACATAATTATAATAAATAAATTATATTTATTAAAGTAATCAACGGTTTTGTGACAATTGGTAATTATTCCCAACATTTGAATATCAACGATGAGTTGTGTGGACTCAGATCTCTGACAATCAAATACGATATCATTTATTCAAAATGCTTTCAAAACACTTATGAAAACAATGTATTTGTGGACTCGATTGGCAGTAATGACTAGTGTTGTAAATTACATGTAATATAGATTTTTATATTACATATTACAGTCATATGACGTCATATAACGTCACATAGTGTCATATAGAAAATGCACATTTTGCTTAAATAATGCTAATTTAGAAATTATGGCTACATTTACAATACATTCATCACTTGTATTGCCAATAGATTATCGAAACACACTTTATATGGTTATTTTATTGTGTGTCAATTAACTTTTTAAATAATATCGTTAATTACAATATTATAATTGTCCAGTCAATAGATGGCGCCAGAGCTATATTACACATTTTGTAATATAAAATTTTTATATTACACTTTACATGTCATATAACTGTAATGTAAAGTGTTATATGACGTCATATGACAGAACACTCGAGAACTACTGTATGTCCGACGACTGGGCAAATGTGGCCCGAATTCTCTTCTCCACCACAATTATGCTCACGTATCCCATCGAGTGTTTCGTTGTCCGAGAGGTATATCACAGACACCACACAACACAGCCGTTATATTCCTCATCAGATCTAATAGTTAGATAAATAACAAACCAATTGATTGATTAGGTTCTGGAAAACGCCATTTGGGACGGAAAACCGCCGGAAACCAAATCGCATCACATTATGATCACTGTTGCAATAGTGGCCACTTGTTTCATATTCTCCACATTCACCGACTGTTTGGGTATTGTTCTCGAACTCAACGTAAGTGCAAAATGTTTGGCCGAAAACGTGTTATCATATAGAAAATGGTATATTTAGGGTGTATTAGCGGCGGTTCCGCTGGCATTCATTCTGCCGGCGCTCTGCTATTTGAAGTTAGAGTCGGGCCGTCTCCTAGAGTGGCGCAAAGCACCCGCATTCCTGTTGGCGGTGTTCGGCTTCGCGGTGGCCATAATCGGCACTTTCTTAGCAATGGTTCGGGTCATCGATGGCGTCACATGCAGTCACGGCAAGGAAATGGACTACTGTTTGGCGCCGCACATCCAAAACAAGACCACATCCATACTCTTGTCGTTGATGAACACTACCACACAGACCACACTCAAGCCTTAACCGTACGGACGTTCCCCGCTATTATACACAACAACTCCCGAACCAAAGTATATATTCAGTAGACTTTTACAAACATAGGACTACAGGAAAACGTATGATTCCTACGGTATGAATGAAAGAGTGAGTTATGGACACCGGTATAGTAGATGACGACAACAGAGGCTAACAATTTAGTGTAATTTAGGAAAATGAGCGCACATTTTGGGTACTGATAACAGTGTAACAGTTTTGGTGGTTTCCGGTTATATCGACACAATGTCAGTATAAGGGGAGAGAAGTCTACTGTATATATGATTATAGCGTATTTATAACAATTAAAACCCTAAACATCATAGGCTTTAAACCAAAATCCGACACAATTAATGACAAAACAAATTATAGTTAAAAACCAACTGTTATTTATTTTTGTGATAATATATAGTGATTCCGGTGGCGGTCTGATCGAGTACCAGGGTACTAAACATATACCCAGGGCTGTGTCTGTGGGCGTAATGGTAGGTGGTTTCCCAAATAAAACCGATTGCGAGTATAAAAACCAATCAAGGGCTGTTGATGTGTCCCGACTTATAGACTGGATTTTGACCACTATGGAAAGCGATAGTAATTGACATTGTTTTATTGTATTTATTTAAAATGTATTGTTTATTTATTTAAATTTGAGATATTTTTATTGTCAAACATTTTCAGTTAATTTTTTGAGAATAATTAATTATTTAATACTAAATTATTCATCATTTACAATTGTTTTATATACATAAATTAAATAGTTTTGTAGTATTTATACTAAAGTTAGTTAAAAATTGATTGAATATTTTATTAAACAAGTATTTTTAGTACAAGAGTTAATAAGATAAAATAATTGCACCTCTGCATAAAGGTTAATATTCTTAATTAGTACATTAGTTATATTTGGCTGTTATAACAATTAATTACATGTTTATCATAAAACTCGCATGCGTTAAATATAAATCCTAAGATATTATAAATTGATAATTTTATTATGATTTTTAAATAAAGGTAAAGTTATAAAGCAGATTATTTGATAATACATGTAAAGTGTTTACAATGTTGCGAAGGTCATTTTTGATTATAAAATAATTTTATTTAATAAGTATTTTATTAGTACATTGGGGTTGTAATATTTACTGGATATATAAAATAGTTAAACTGTCTTGCACTTTATGTACTCAAATAACATCCTTAATTAACTAAAGTTGTGTTCAAAATATTTTAATAAAATTATCTAATAACTAGTTGACTATATTATTTTATTAAATACAGTAATTATAATAATATAATATTTAATAATATTAATTAGCATCTGGTTTAATAAATTAAAAATCTACACAATGACAACAAGTGTTAACACAAATATCGACGTTAAGACCACATCGGGAACAGTGAGGGGTCAGACGGTGTCAGCGCTTGACACAGAGCTCTACCAATTTTTGGCCATACCTTATGCTGAGCCACCGGTCGGTGCTCTACGGTTTGCAAAACCCGAACCCATTAAAAAAGCCCGAGATGTAAGTTATTGACTAAATACTAATTAACTAAACTATTATATTGATACTAATATAATTAACGTTATATTAAATAATTATAAAATTATTATATACCAAAATAATAACTTATTATATATTTTACCATAATACTAACATAAAAACATTTATCTTTATCATAAACAAAAACAACCAGGGTATTATTGATGCAACAAAAGTGGGAAATTCACCTTATCAAAAGGAAATGTCAGTTACACTCATTCCCATCACTCAGAGCGAGGACTGTCTTGTGCTAAACATATGGACCCCAACTGTGCCGACAGATAACACGTCCAAAACATCACTCAAACCAGTAATGTTTTGGTTATATGGCGGCGGACTTAGCATCGGTACCATCGATATGTACAACGGCGGGCCATTGGCCTCACACGGGGTGGTGTTTGTGGCCCCGAACTATAGGGTCAATCACTTTGGCTTTCTATACGGCGATCGGGAGGACGCGCCCGGAAATGTGGGCTTTTATGACCAGTTATTGGCTCTTAAATGGGTATTAAATTAATTGTTTGTTTTAATTAATATAATTAAAAATGAAATTAATTTTTATTACAAAATAATAGGTCAGAGAAAACATCCATAAAATTTTGGCGGAGATAGGGATCAGATCACCATTTTTGGTGAGAGCGCCGGCAGTTGGTCCGTATCGGCGCACATACTCTCCCCGCTATCCAAAGGCCTATTCAAAAGGGCTATTATGCAGTCGGGCGCCCATATGTACAATAAGGACAGGGATGTGAACAGCAAAGCCGAGGCCATAGCCGAAGGCAAACGCGTGGCCAAAGAGTTGGGTTGCAGTGAAGGCGCCGATTGGGTTCAGTACTTACGGACAGTCGATGCCAAGGATTTGGTGGAAAAAGCCAACCCATTGACGTACCCGGTGTTGGGCACAGAGTTTTTGCCACTTTCTGCCCACAAAGCACTTCACAACAATCAATATAATAACGGTTTTAATCAAGTTTTATAATTTTAATCAATAATTATTATAAATAAATAATTAAAATTAATTCATAATATACTTACACAGACATCGATCTAATGGCGGGCATCACCAGCACTGAGGGCTCGTCACTATCCAAGCTATTCATAGCGCCGGACAAAGAGGTGTTCACTATCGATGACTTTGTGGCGGCTGTTAAGGCGTCGGACGCCATGTTTCACGGCATAGACGCCCAGAAAGTGGTCGACCACTACCTGAAAGGCGTGGACACGAGTAACACACCGGCGTTAAAGCGTGCTTTTTACGAATATTTTGGCGATTTATTCATTAAATACCCGACATATCTGTTCGCTCGACAAGTGGCCACCGGTGCCGGCGATCGGCATTCGGTATACTTCTACGAACTCACGCATCAAAATCAGTTCTTCGCGCAGATTCTTCAGTGCGATACCGAAGAGTCGGGTATCGGCCACGCGATGGACATACCCTTTGTCTTCGGTATGCCTTTTGGTGGCCAAATGGCCGCCGCTTTCGACGAAACCGATCGCCAGTTTAGTAGAGATGTGATGCGGATGTGGACTAACTTCGCGAAATACGGGTATAATTTATTTTATTAAATTATTTTATTTGTATGTTTTACATGTGATAATTTAAGTAACAATTTTATTTGTGTTGTTGTATTAAACTTATTTTTATAGCAAACCTGACGATAAATGGCCGCAACTATTGAGTGATCCGAATGTACCCAAAGTGAAAGACTTAAACCCCGATCAAAATCGACCCCCACTTAACGACCCGTACGGATATCATTATGATCATTTTTGGCAATCCTACAAACTTATTAATATGTATAAAAATCAATATATTTACACACGTAAAAAACATCATACCTATTTACAAATTGAGCTTAAAGTATTTAAAAATATGATTATTAACTTAAATTCTCTCTTAATGGATTTAATGTTTAATTACTATGTTGAATAATTATGTTATTAAATTATAATAAAATGTTATTATTTACAAAAAGTATTAAAATTTTTATCAGCAAAAATATTTGATTTATTAATTTTTAAATTAATTGTAATTGATGTGATCATCTAGTACCATTAATTAATTATGAATTAATAACAAATAAAGTCTTGAAAATATTAGTTAATGCAATCAATCTTATTATCAGTTTAAAAATAATTTTCATAATAATTTAAATATAGATAATTAACAGACAGTGTTATAAAAAATTAATTATGAATTAATAACAAATAAAGTCTTGAAAATATTAGTTAATGCAATCAATCTTATTATCAGTTTAAAAATAATTTTCATAATAATTTAAATATAGATAATTAACAGACAGTGTTATAAATAATTTTTAATTCACATAATTAATGACCACATCTTTTTAAGCACTGCTATTATGGACATACTTTTTAATTGCTAATCATTGTTGTCACAGAGCGAGACACTTGAATATTGTAACAAACTTATCATGTATTGTATATTAGGGTTAAACTGTACTTTTTATTACTAACAATACTAACTTGCATTACGGACGCAAAAGTATTAAATAAATATGATTTAAAATTATAATTCAAATACTGATTACACTCTATCTCTGGTGAAACACAAATACATTCGCAGACATGTCTGCCATCAATGCCATAATGTTTTACATAGTAATAGCGTTGAGTATAGCTAAAAGTAACTATCAAACAAATAACCATGGTACTAAACACACATACTAAACTTAATTATCACGTACAAAGTAGTCAGTGGTGTAAACATCAGTGTTGTGGGCGATGGAAATCCGGTGATCGGCACGTATGTGCCAGAGTATGGCGTAAACGGAGACAACTGTGGCTATAAATACGTTACGAATGTATCGGAAATACAATACAAACAATGCTTTCGAAACTACTATAAAAGGACAATATATGAGACTGTATTCGGACACAAAGGCAACGAGTCATGCGATTCAAAGCCCGTGTACTCGTCGGACGCCAGTAGTCGTATATATAAGGGCTCGGAGGGCGACTATCTGGAGGCCCCCTGGGCTGTAATGCTGGCGATGATGTCCGTTGAAAAACATATGATTAATCGCACCTTCAGTTACCAGCCATTATACCCATTGTATGTATTTTATAAACGCATTATCTGTGCGATAACAATCATTATATAATTATATAACTACTGTAATGAGCTGTACGCACATACAGTGCAACTTCTCTATAGGAAAACTCCCTTATAAATTGATTTCTTATATTTATAACGTTAGCGCAACCTTATTAGAGAAATCTAGTTATAAAATACACTTGTTTTGCTGCTTATAGAGAGGTTGCATTACATTATACAGTATACACAACATATACGGCATGATAATAATTACTATAATGCTAATAAATCTATGTTGACATTTATAATACGCAGCAATGCGACCGCAAAGCACAAACACGTCAGTCACGTTACTCACGTAAAGAGAATGGCCTATTCCTGCACCGGTGTATTGATATCGGAGTACGTGGTGCTGACGGCCGCCCACTGTTTGATACCGTATTTATTAAAACCCTATTATGTATTGAGCGACAGGTTATTAACGTTTTGCTATGCATTCATATATATATCTATACAGACCGACATACGTACATAACATCAGTTATCAACTGTGGGCTCACGGGGGAGGCATGCGAGGGGCGGCCGGCCGGGTCATTATGGAGGCCCCTCAGGAGCACTGGCGCCCACACCCCGAATACGTGGCGGCCTTACGTAATAAAAGTGGCGCGTACACGGTGGAGTACATGAAATCGTACGATGTGGGTTTGGTGCGGCTCAAGCATCCCATGCGCGCGCGTACCGACCATAAGCTCCGGTATGTGGTCAACACCGTGTGTCTGCCCGAGCGATCGCCCGATCGCAGTAAGTTTCTCGACGAGCTCTGGTTCTACGGGTACGGCGTCGAGCAGGAGGTGCCCATGAAGTGGCCCAAGTGTGTCAAGAAGGCCATGTTTTAGGGCGGCCACTATTGTACAAACAATATGCTATGCGTGGCCAATAATCAGGCCAAACTGTGCCGGGTAATTTGTGACTCAAATTATATGTAATGGTTTAATTTATATTAAACGCTATTTTGTTTGTTGTATGGGTTTTGTGCTTTTGTATAGGGTGACGAAGGTGGCGGTTTTGTCAAGTTTCAGCCTAATAGAGCTGTGTTGGTGGGCATGGCTATCACGGGTGGTCCGCCCGGTGCGTGCGATAAGCAAACGTATACCGAGAACAGCGATATCTCTCACCACTTGTACTGGATTTTGCAAACCATTGATGACTTCAATAGATTACCCAAAGCTGTGTCATTACCCCCGCCTTACCGCCTGAATACTCAGGGGTTGGGGTGATTTGATTGTGCCAAGTTTGTTTTGTATCAAATATTTATTGACTATTCTAAATTTAAATGAATATTTCTATTTTAAATATAGTTTTTTGTTTTATAAATTATTAAATCGGTTAATTATCTATATTTAAGTTATTATAAAAATTATTTTTTTTAAACTTATCATTCCTTTAGTTAACTTTATTTTAATAAAAAGTTGTATTAAATTGCAATACATATCGGTTGAGGCATTCCATCACTCACTCGCCTATCTGTAGAGTACAATACCATATATGCTATATATTGTGTACATATGAAAGAGTTTATCGCATAGTAAGGTATATCCAATGCATTATTTCTATGGAGAGTGAGGGTATCAATAACTCAAAATCTACTAGGTTGATTTTAAAGATCCATACATCAAATTGTTCAGAATCAAATATAAGTCGAGATGTATATTAAAATTTTTATAACAAATGAGACTGTTCTGAGTATTATGCTTGAAAGTGTAAAAATTCTCAGATTTAAACTGCTTGCCATTTAAAATCTACATGAATAATTTTATTTATCAATATATCATTTTGTTCATATTAAGACATATAAAAAATTAAATTTTCAGATTTTCGATATTTCAATTCTATCATATATTTAATGCATAGTAAACCTAGTTATGTTAATTTAACGGGATTACATAACGATATTGAAAATCTAAAAACCTAGGTTTTTTAATTGTTTTAATATAAACAAAATAATATACTGATGATTAAAATTACTTGTGTAGATTTTAAATGGCAAGCAGTTTAAAAATAATAATTTTTACACTTTCAAGCACAATACTCAGAATCATTTTATTTGTTATAAAAATCTTGATATACGTCTCGACTTATATTTGATTGTGAACAATTTGGTGCATGATTCTTTGAAATTGACCAAGTAGATTTTGAGTTATGGATACCTCTCACTCTCCATAGAAATATTGCATAGGATATACCTTACTATGCGATAAACTCTTTCATATTTATTGACTATTCTAAATTTAAATGAATATTTCTATTTTAAATATAGTTTTTTGTTTTATAAATTATTAAATCGGTTAATTATCTATATTTAAGTTATTATAAAAATTATTTTTTTTAAACTTATAATAAAATTGAGTGTATCAAAAAAAATTATACTATGTAAATTTTATAGACTGTACTGCATATTAAAGTTATATTTAATATTATTTATTATCAATTCAATCTCACCGAGTATTTTGATAATTATTTGTGCCATAATCATACCCACATCGATAGCCTCAACAAGAGGGCCAATAATATAATTATATTTAGCCGTAAACAATAGTGTTTATGCCCTATGTAAAAATATCTAATAATACTACATTTTAATCAACAATTACTAACATTAGCAATTTAATAATTTTAATCAAATACTGTATAGTAGAATATACGGTAAAATGTTTATTTATAATTAATGATTAATCAAATAATTAATTAACAAGGACAATATCAAGTATATATGCACTATTCCATGCCAATGATTATGAAGCAGTTTTTAAATCAAGTTTGAAAAAACTTTGTATGGCATACATGTATAAGAATATTATTTAAAAATTATTTAAATTAAGTGCAAAATGATTACAAAGGGCTACAAATTATTTTTGACATTCATTATTTGTTTATGTTATCTATTTTACGTAAGTTTATACACTGATAGTTTTTACATCTAAATTATTATGCATTAGTATCATGCATATTTTATAATTACAAAATATTACATCATGATCATTTATAAAGTCAGTGCAAAACAATATCTATGGTCCGGGCCTTTTAGATCTGCAAATGCTGTTCAACTGTACATTCGCTCAAATATCGTTTATGAACACCGTTTGGTCAGTCACGTACACATTGGGCGCATTAAGTAACCATGATCATCTGTTAAACATTAAAACATAACTAATGAGCTAGAATTATGTCCACAAAATAATAAACAAATCTAGATGGTCCGGCTTTTAACCTATACAACAAACAACTGGCGTATATGGTGTGTATGGTTGGGGTAGGAATTGGCACATGTATTATACCATATCTGTACAAAATCTGGTTCCTATACCTGGATATGGCTATCATTGGTATATTTGCCGGCGGTATAGACGCGGTGTCGTCCGTATGGGTGGTCGAGATGTGGGAACAGGATTGCGGGCCATACGTACAGGCCTTACAGTTCTCGCTGGCCGTGTCCTCATTGATTGCACCGCAAATTATGAACCCATACCTCTCCCAACCCTCCACAGTATACGACGTGTTTGACGGCAACAATAATACACTATTATTTACCGAGTCATCAATTAATGAACAGTTGGTCAACGCTACCGGTATAGACATACCGGGCCTGACATCCACTGTTAGCGCAGCACTGGTTGGCAATGATATAGTGGTTGGTGTAGAGGAGCGGTCGCCAACTCTTATATACATACCGTTCAACTTTGTGGGCGGCATAATGTGTGCGCTCGGCCTACTTATAGGTGCCCTCAACTATTACCATCGGTATATACCACGAGTAATACAGTCTACTCCCGGCGATTTACCTTCAGTGACTAGTAGTGGGTGCGGCCAAAAAATAATCACTTTTATCAAACAAGCTCGCAATACGTTGGTGGCCGAACTAATGCCCTCGTACGCGGTTTTTACCCTAATTATATTGTTATCATTTATAATCGCTTTCATACAATCATTACAATTCAACTGGAGCGTTTACTGGGTCTCATTCGCCTCGTTCACGGCCCTCAAATTGAGCACGTTTACATCAAATAACATACTCACGGCCGAGTCGGGCGCGTTCACCCTGAGCCGGGCCCTATGCGTACTGATATCTAACTATGTCAGCCCAATAATTATCATCTATGTCGGTCTAATATTGCTATTTGCGGCCCATATAATATATGCCATTTTTGCAGATACCTCGCTCACTTTGATGTGGGCGGGCAATATTATATTTGGCCTGGGTGAAGGTCCCATATACGCGGCCATATATCAGCTCCTGGAGTTTATAACACCGGTGACCAACATTATGGGCGCTATGTTTATATTCTTGATCGGTTTATTATCCATCATATTTACTGTACTCATTGGTATTTATATTCAGTCTTTCCCCATGATATTAGTTTATATTGATTTTGCCTGCCTTATTTTGGCTTTTATTATGTTTGTAATAGTTCATTTAATAATTGTGTTATTTATTAAGAAAGATACAATTGATTTAAGTAATAAAACAGATGGTAAAAATATGCCGGTCGTACCAGAGAAGTTTATAGATATATCGTATATTATGAGTTATTAACTGTAACACTGTTTCTTAAATAAGCAAATAATGTGATAAATTAA